AGATTAGTTAAATCAACCGAACTCATACAGAGATTAATTATTGAAAATAACAGATAAAATATAAAGTTTTTTCTTAAGAAACGTTTGATAACTATCTGGAGATTATAAAGATTTTGCATGTGATGTATAAAAGTATTTTTAATCTTAAAATGAATATTACTTTGCATGATATATAGGCAACATGCGAAAGAAAAAATAAGACATGAGAAAAACATTGCTTTACAAACCTTAAGACTTGATATAAAAAATTATGTTTTACATGTGAAAGCATTGTAATATTTATTGATAATCTGCCAAATTTTGTTAACATTTGCTTACTAATTTAAAAGTTATAGCATGAAAACTATAACAAGCACAAAATGGTTACGAGGTCGGTCCCAGGGACTGAGCCGGTGCTGAAAGAGTTAATGTGATATGTAGTTTATGTTCTAACCTTATTAATATAAATGTATACATCTTGCATGTCATTGTGGCACTTTCCCTTATTACTTACAAGATGGCTTGATGGAAACCAAGAATGACTTAGTGGTCTTCTGGATGCACCATTCCCTGTTTTGGATTCAATATTCACCTGTAATATGCAACGTATGGAAATTTATGGGTATTAATTCATGCTTGTCAAAGTAAATATTTCACTCTTTGTGTTACAATCTATTCACAAGTTGGCATATTTTTTGTCCATAATATAAAAATTAATTTTGTGTCAGAATACATTGTGTTTTTGCTCAGACATATTGTATCTAATAAAAAACTGTGAAAACATATCTTGTGAAATGTAAATAAAAGAAGCAAATGGATTTTCAAGAGTGAAAAAACTTTGTGATTAACATTTTCCCAAAAACATATTACTTATGATTTGACAGCATGTTCTAACTTCAGAAAATTATCTACTAAGAAACAGCGTTAATGCTTAAAAATATCTCGCCTAATGGTCTTTGAAATCACATTAGTATTAACGTGTAGAACTAAGCATATTTTAAATAATGTATGTTATAAGTCTTTGCATAACATTGAAAATACATATAAATACTTGGTTGTTTTTATATATGAATATTAGTAGTGACACAAATTGATAAAAAAACCATTGATCTTGAAAAAAATAATCTTTAAGGTTTAAGCTGTCATGTTTTAGTGCTTTAGTGTACCTAACTCAACTGTTGTTAGCTTTCAATATTATAAATATGAATATTAGATAATGTATTTCACTTTTTGTAGGTGCAAATATTATTCTATAAAACATTTATAAAACAAGAGCAGTATTTTAGTAGTTTTCCTTTCTGTAATAATTTGAGCAATGCATGTTTTATTCATGATGGGAATGTTAAGACATTAAAACAAAAACATCATTGTAAGATGCACATTGCAGCTGTATGTTTTTCATATGTAAAAATAGTATGTACAAGGGTATGATTATATTTTATAATTGTGCATGTGGCATCATTTCATAAATCATTATTGAATTTCTAAAATATTATTGTTTAGTAGTGAGTATTTTACAATTAATTTAACCACTAATATTTAAATGAGTTTTTTTTTCATATTTAAATAATAGTATGGCCAAATGGATTAATGTTTAATTAGGTACAAAGTGTCAACTTTTGGAGATTTTTTATCAGCTGACAATTTTCAAAAGAACCTTCTTAAAAATTATAAATATATAATATGACAAATCAGAATGTATATAAGATTTTCTTCATATTATTGCCATCTTCAGTAAAGGTTTTATTAGTAAACTTTAAAAAGAGGTAACATCTTGTATAGTTTCTTTTGTTTAATGAAGGATGTAGTACTTTAGTGTAATGAATTTGTAAAATAGGGCTTGTTCTTTCTACTTCCACAGGGACCAGCCACCACCTGCTGATAAAAAAAGGCAGAGAGAGTGGTGGAAGAGGGATAGACGGTGTACTATTTTGTAGTACTGTAATTTTTTTTATTAAAAACTTCACAAGTGTGAAGCTTGAATAGGAGGAAAATGGCCTATGAAGTGAGTAAGCAAGTCTGTGTGTATACATAGCAGTACATGTAATAACTTGTCTGTAGTATGCAGCACCTCAGCATTTCTTGATGTTCTAACATTTTTTCTCTTTTCACATCTGTTGTTAAGTATGCATCTTCAGTCCTGTATTATTCCACTTGAAGTTAGAAACAACAAATTCAAGTTCTGTCTACTTGAATACATCTTCAGGTCTTTTATCATATATTTTAACGAGGCACTCCATCTTTTTTTTCAATATCTTCTAATACAAGTTCTCTAGGATCCTGAAAGAAAGAACTTTTCCAGTGGGAGTTAAGAAATTTGTGGAAAAAACAAATACACACACACATTTTATTATTGTTCCTCTGGAGCAGCTCTAAAAATTGTGAAATTTTTGTATATGAAACTCTTTTTGAACATTTTTAATAATGGGACATTGCATTTTGTGTACTATTGGTTACTTTGCTTTCTTAGGGTCATATTGTACATTAAACTTTCAAGTTGTGACTTCAGCAGCTAGCAACAGAATAATTTATTGATTTGTTTTCAAATATGACTTGTGAATGAACCAAGTAATAAAAATAAAGTAGTAATTATTTGATAAAATAAGATAATTTAGATACATGTAGATTGTGTATTGTGTGAATTGTACCATGAACTTTCTTTATATATAGTATATTTAATTTCATTTAAAACATTTTGTCTGTCTGTTATTCTCAAATGTATGAATGTTATTGAGATCTTCATAAAGATTGACTTAATTTAAATTATAAAAAAGGTGTACAGTGTTTGTAAATGAATGTCATGTTTTAGATATGCTATATAATTTAAGAATTTTCACTAATCTACAATGTGTATGTGAAACCCTTTTAGTGAGTGAACTGTTTCTTGGTAAGTAACAAGAAAGTGAATTAATGAAAATATACACCTTACTGAGAATGCCATGAATGTTATTTATGATAATAACATTAACAGAGAGGAAAACAGTTGAAGATAAATCTATTTATCATTTTATGAAACTTTATAAGATACTTGTGATCATAAAAAAAAAAAAGTGGAGATAAAAATTATCCTAAGTTTGATATATTCCGTATGGGATTGTTCATGAGTTACCTTGGACATATTATCCTCAATACAGTGTCACATAACATGTAACTTTCCCTTGAATAAATTGAAGCTGCCATTTTACATTTAATGCTAGAAAAAAAGGGGGAGGGAATACTGTGCCTTTTTAGCCTGGTGGGTAAATTGCAGATTCTGCTAAAAAAACTTTGTAACTCTTACATGATTTAAAACAACATCAAGGAAATTCTGTAACTTCAAATTATGGTCAAGAGTCATAGTCAGTTATTTTTGGAACTATTGTAGTGTAAAACAGAAAGCAAGTCGTTATCTGTGTAAATAATTGTAAACTTGCCTGTTTATTAATGAAGAAAAAGCCTCCAGCCTGCTCCATGAGGAATCCCTTGCAGGTTCCAGGGTGAGTGGGTAAAGATCATATAAATAAGATATTTACAAAATTAAACACTAAATATGCAGTGTTTCCAGTGTTAAAAGTACTAAAACTGATATATGAAATGTGTCTTGTAGTTGAATTATTCTTAAAAATCTCATTTGAGATTGAGATCAGTAACACTTAAACGATTAATTCATACTAAGCATAGACTTTTTTCTTGACACAACCCATAATAAGTTTTCAAAGGTGGGCCATTGTTTTTCTTCAGTTTGCAAAAATTGTGATTATAATTTTTTCAACTCATTCCACAAATTGTATTGTTTAAGAATTACCACTTGTCAGGTAACTGTGAAATATATTATGTAGATACATACACATTTTTTGAAATTGTATAGATGATGAATAAAAAAAACTAACATAAAAAATTCATAGTAGATAAAAGCAACCACTTGCTTATTAAAATCAAAAGGCATGTACTTAAAGAACAAAGTTGTGTATTCAGTGTTTTCACTTTTTTTTGATTCACATTAACAGATATGACACAACATACATTGATAATAGTATTAAAAGCCAAAGACACTATTTTTAAAGTTCTATCTTCCTGATATTTGTCTGAATCAACTTTTTTTTTAGCCACGGTATAATGGCTCATAGAATGGCTCCAAGTTTTTTTAAAATACAAACTTTTAGCTTATAGCTTCGTCTTCTGTTGACTGATTTGAGATCTAATTACAGTTTTGGACTCAGGAGGTCAAACCCTTTCAATTGATGTATTTGACCATGCCTAGGGTCTCATAGATTAAT